CTTTGGATTCAAATGGTAAAAGACAATTGTTCTCAATCGAACTGGCATCTGTTGGGACTCTAATCAATGCCACAGAACTAGGGAGTTGTGTTCTAAACACATTTCTGCTTAGACCGTAACTCACCATAGCTTTCATCTCTGTGCTGAAAACCAGCAATTAGGTGCCTGTGGTTTCTGAGTTCTTGCCAAATCCTTTGTCTTGAGGAGGACAAATTTACATTTCTCTGGAGCAGAATCCTTTACCAGCCCACCCAGAATGTCAGCTGTGCTAGTGAGGAATGACTTCCTCAAACATGCCCAGGTTACTTCTTTAATCTGATAGCACAGGTCTAAATCAGAAATCAGATATAGCCTGGTGAGAATCACTGGATGGTACAAGAGGTTGGTTTCCGTTCAAAAAAAGAGTTATTTTTCTTCAGCGGTCTCACATTGAACATTGATTTCATTTTATACACATTTGCAGCATTACAAAGGGTGAATTCAACATAAACACTAACTCTGTTTCCCCCACATCTGCATAGCTAACGGCAGTATTTAGGATTAGCTAGGAGATATCTTCAGGAGTAACTTCCTGTAGGAGCTGGGTCACAACTGTGTTGGGAACCAAATCCATGGGCATTTTGCCGAGTTCCAAATCACTTCCTGTGGCGCTCTCTCCCTGCATTATCGGAGCTAATACTGACTTAAATAATTGACCAACATTGCGATTATACCTAGTTACTTCAGTTCATTGCAGAATTTGGGGTGTGCTGTTGCTTACCACTGGAGATTTAAAACCACTCCTGTTTCCTTGGTAGCGTATCCCAGAACTGGGAGTATTCTCTCCAGCTGACTGGGGGCGTTTGAACTTTCCCCCATGTCATCATGGAGGGGTGGAGGAAAAGGAAAAATAAAGGAAGAAATGACTCTTGAAGCAACTGGTCATTTGCCTCAAAGTCCCCAATAAATCTGAACTACATTCTGCCACAGAAAACTAATGTCCAGTTGTGTGACCAAACAGCCTTCAGGAAAGAGAGAAAAATCAGGGCTGGATTTGCACCTTATGTGCTCCTAGGCACAGCATCTTCAGTGGCCCCCCTGCCTCCCCATGTGGCCCTGTGACCTCCCCCGCCCAGCAGCCCTGTGTGGCCTGCTCTGCCGCCTAACCTGGCTCCAAGAAGGCTGCTGCAACTTTTCACTTGAGGAAGAAATGCCCCCGCCACCCGCCTACCAGCTGTTTGCCACTGCCCGCCGGACCCGTCAGCCTCAGCCAGCTCAGGCTGTTCTGGTACCACAGTGGCCTCTGGTGGGCGAAAGACAGAACTGCAGCATATTTTTGCAGAAAAAAAATTCTGCCTCCCTCGGACAAGAATTCTACACATGCTGCAAATGTCACCGAAGGGGAGGGGGCACGACGTGAGACAAGCGGTGTGTGGGGCATCTCGGCAAGGGACAGGACAGATCAGGAGGCTCCTCCCTCCTGAGCAGTGTGGCCAGTGGCAGCAGGGCAGCAAAACAGCCCAAAATACTGCAACTTGCAACTGCTAAAAAGCCCTGGTAACTGACAGCTAAAAATCGCCCATTGGGCTAGAAAATTGCATACTTGGCAACCTGCCCACTGTGCCTAGTTGGAAATCCAACTCTGCTTACAGAGGTACAAGACATTTTCAGTTTCAGATGGAATGAGATTCTAGAGCAGGTTACATCTGATGACTCAGAATGAGAACCACAGATTTTTCCCGCTGCATTCTCCTCTGATCCACTGAAACCTGCTTCACTCACCGCTGTCTCATTATTATTGAGTTGTGTTATTTACAAAAGTTTTAGCATCATGATAATGGTTTGTCTAGACTAGGAAAAGTGGAGGAGGTTAGGACAGGTCGAGGGAAAAAGTGCTAGCTACCCAGACTATTGTACTTGGGCCATGTCAGTACAGAAAACAGAGTTGGGATTTTACATCTTGATAGTTCACTTGAGCTGGCTAACTGCAAAAAATGCTCATGGAGCCAAGGCCCAGGTACCACAATGCAGCTAACTGAGGTCATTCGTGTTCCCCCCACCTGGGGCTGATGCACATTCCTAGTAAGATGGACTCACACTCCCACGA